AAGCAATGTGCCGACTCAAAACATTTAACAAAGATGGTTGACGGTCGAATTGGGGTCGGTCCGAAAGGGTTCACTGTCGGTCCCGAAGGACCAAACGACTTCGGACTTGGAGACTTATGAGAGCACCGCGAAACCAATCGCGGCAGAACAATGGAATAAATCGATACCCCCAGGTTCTCTCGTTCCTTTAAACGCGGAAAGCGACGCCTGGGGTATCGTTCTTCGAAGCCTGTCTCTTTCTCTGTATCTTTTTTTTTTCTCTTGCTTGTCAATGTGAGGTGTGAGCGGATGTAGAAGTTAAGAAAGAAGCAATTATGGGGAGATTAAGAAGTCACCGCCGCCGGGTTTCTCGGCGGAGTATTAGTTTCTCGTGACGTAATTGAGAATGAAGTGGGACAAAGAAGGAAGGAAAGGAAGAAGGAATGTAAAAAAAGGAGAACGAACGGAAGCATGCGTTATGCACAGAAAGACGAAAAAAAAAGAAAGAAAAAAAAGCGACCCCAATTTTAAGTTCTACAATGCATGGAATGTAAGAAGCGCTCGTTTAAACTTGTTTAGAAGACATTGAGTCGTTCTTTGGCCCGTACAACAAAAGAAGAAAAAAAAAAAAACATTGTTTAATCATTTTCCCGATAAGTTTAGAGGAAACGTTGATTTGACGTGACGTGACATCACGTGACTTCAGGTGATCACGTGACGTCATGATGTCCCGTGACACATCGACTTGACACAGCGAGGTCACGAAACGTATAACCACGTCGCGTGATCTCGAAGGTACGGCATCGCCTCATTTTATTTTATCGTCCGAATCAATATTGATAATAGTGATAATAGTTTTGCCGAACCTTTCTATAGAGATTCGGCAAAAATAGATTGTTGCCAGGCTTAAAAGTTAACATTTTCTTTTTCTCGGGGCGAAATAAGTTTTTAGGTTTTTCTGTTTTTAATGCATATTGACACAATTATTACCAAATAAGGTTATATTTCACAAGATAATTGTATCGGTGTCACTTTTGTGCGTTCAGTGACAATTTTACAGTGACTTTTCGCGGGAATGGTGTGAGGACGAGGTTGGGTGGTACCGGCCGCAGTCGCGATACGCAAGTTTCAGTTTTGAGGCCTCATCAGCGCAAGTTTGCAAGTGTGTGTACATTGCTAAAATAAAAGCGATAACACTGTGTTCTACATTTCCTCTGGGAGTCATCGTTTCGTTCGCGAAAATGAATGCAACGGCTGCTGAGCCTTCACCAAAAAAGATGTCGATCTTACTGTAAATAAGCATGTTCTTTCTATTTGAGTCACCTGACGCCATCTTTGCATAAAAGTGTGCGTCCCAGATTCGGAGCGTCTCGTTTTTAACTTTTAAAATGCCGGTTTCTGACGTTAGGATACGCGCGGACGTTTAGAAAGATGGGAGGAGTTAGGAATGTCGGATGTGCAACGTCGAGCATGATAGTTCCGCCTTTAGTTTTATGCGGATACATGAAAACCGCCAAATAACGCGAATTGAAAGGCAATATTATTTTGTTGTGGTACAAACTACTTGTGAGCATAAAACAGGATTGCTCTAATTGCGAGGAGTGCTTTAATGTACTTGTCAGTCAATATTGCATCTACCTCGTTGCATCACTGGAAAGATCAAATGAAAATCACGCTATCCAGAATGTACCGCATCATTTGTCACTTGCGGAGTGGGCTGCGTCAATTTCTGGTCGATCTTTTGTCTATGATGCAGAAGATATTGGAGATAACCACACTGACAAAGGCTGACAAACACAGTTACCATGTCGCCTACTGCGCACCTCGCCGTAACCGCTGGTACTAATTACACTGTAAGATGGTAACCGCACGACCGCACGGCGTTCATGTCCAATCCATGGCCCCACCGCGTTCTCGCGCGTGAGCAGACGTTTTCCGAATTTTCGCCGAATCATTGCCGAACTTCTCATCAAAAGTTCGGCACGTGCCGAACTTTGCCGAATCTGAAGTTCGGCAGATTCGATCCATCACTAAGTTTCATAATAACGAAGAGTACACACAACAGAAATCCCCCACGGCGGTTCGCACGTCGCATCTCGGATAGACGACACTTTATTTCGTACGAACTGCGTCGTCGACCAGCTGCCATAAATCGACCGCGTCAATGCTATCTGCTCGGCTCCGCGAAAGACGGCCAGCCCCGCTGTTGAGTCACCTTTCCTGCAGTGCGGGGCTGCTACCCCTGCGACGAGAGGAGTCCTGCGGTTGACGCACCTTGGCGGTCGATAGCAGCGGGTAAACGATTAGCGCTTCTCCGTAACTAGCTGCACACCGCATTTTGGGGCGGCTGGAGACGGTTGCGAAAGCGCTCGAGTTGGCCTAGTTAGAGCTAATGGAACCGCGAAACGAGGTATTGTTTTTGTTGTTCTTTCATTACGCTTTTGCTATTACTTTTGCGCTTTGGATAAATAACCACAGTGGTGGAAACAAACTTTGCTTACATATGAAGCACGAAACATGATTTTGTTTTTCATTTTATTATAGAAGATTTCACAGTGGTTCTAACTACAGGGTGAAACAAGGAGACGGCAGGCTCTTTAAATCGACCGGAAAATTCGGTTTCTTAACCTATCGCGCTACGACTTTGTGCAGCGTTGCCCACAGATGGTGCATTTTTTTTTTTTTTTTTGTAAAATTTGCAAAGAGCGAACTTACCTGAGGAAAAAGTAAAGGAAGAAAAAGGCTTAGCTCCTATGGAAACACAGCAAAGCCACAGGTCTTCAAACAACACGGCGCCGTTTCGCACGGGAGACAAGAGATGGCGCAAGCGGTCGCGACGCCAACTGCCACCAACGAACGAGCAGACGACGCCGAGAGCCGCCGTATTTAGCAGACAAGGAACTGCAGTTCTTCGTTGTTACCGCGCCTGTTTTCGTTTCTGCGACTGTCGCCGCCTGCGGAACGCGCGTCGCTTGAGTCGAAAAGATTGTCTGCTAAAGACGCTGACTCTCGGCGCCGTATGCTCGTTCGTTGGCGGCGTTCGTTGCGCCATCTCTTGTGTCCCGTGCGAAACGGCGCCGTGTTGTTTGAAGACCTGTGGCTTTGCTGTGTTTCCATAGGAGCTAAGCCTTTTCTTTCTTTACTTTTTCCTCAAGTAAGTTCTCTCTATGCAAATTTTACAAAAAAAAAAAAAAATGCACCATCTGTGGGCAACGCTGCACAAAGTCGTAGCGCTATAGGTTAAAAAACCCAATTTTCCGGTCGACTTAAAGAGCCTGCCGTCTCCTTGTTTCACCCTGTATATATCGTGTCTGCAATGAATCATAGCGCTGTAAAACGAGTTGGAAAAATCGGTGGCTGCACAACAGGAAGGTCAAACTTTCGCCAAATGTGCATTTATGTGCTGCATTTTACCTATTGAAGGTTGCAGGCGAAGCTCACTTCCTGTAACTAGATGAGATCAGTCAACTTGCCAGGAACTGAACAGCGGACGTGCTTGCGCAGACGACTGATTGAGGGGTAGTTTTAACTTGTGGCACCATCTCCCGATGAGTCGAGCGAGTAGACGGCGCACTCTGTTTGCTCGCTGCGCCTATCGGGAGATGGCGCCACAAGTCAGACGACCATCGCCAACTCGATCGTCTAAACAATTGGGGTGTGTCTGTGTGTTTGTACAGCCTAGAACTTAGTCTGACTCAACGGGCGACTTCTCTCCTAGCGTAGACGAACAATTTAGCCAGTGCAGTACAAACCGCTAGCCTGGGGTCTTTAACGTGCACTACGCAGTGGTGATACACGACCGCACGCCGTGACGATGCTCATCCAGATCGAAACGGGCAGGGGTGGGGATTGTTCGTCTCTTAGCACGTTCCCTACCAATCCCTCCCCCCTCTCCCGCAGGTTAATTGGCCCGTTTTGCATAGAAAAAGAGCTTGGCCTCGAAAGATTACCGGATCAGAGTCACCACCCCGATGCACTTTCGGTGAAAGTTTGCGTTTTCTGTGTGCAGGCGTCCATTTTTTCCGGTTCGCTTCAGAGCGATGAGATCCACTCAAGATACCCAATATGGATAAAGAAGAAAAACTCTTCACACGCGTAAAGCACGGACCAGATATCCGACTTTGCGTGCACTTCTAATGCATTAAGTTTTTACTTTCGCCAACAAAGGTGGTCACAATAAAGCCTTTACCCGCGTAAAGCACACGACAGGTTCAATTTCTGGTTACACTCTCGCAATCACTCTTTACTTTTCATAACTATAGAGGCCAAACGAGCAATATACATTCGAAGCTTATGAAAACAGAAACTTTGTCTACAATTTAACAATTACTTTTACTAACCACTGCCCTCGTAATCTAATTAGGTTTCTTTCTTTCTATGGAAAGAGCGGGGGGGGGGGGGGGGGGGGGTGCATGGCAGAAATTTGTATGATTACACTAGTGTTCCTCAGTAACGCCTTCGACCCAATGAGACGAACTGACTTTCGGCAGCATGAACACATAAATAAATCATAACTGTTTCTTTTTTTTACATTTTTAGTTGTTATTTCACCATGTTGACGAACAGCGTCCACACCCTTCCCCAATTGTTTACGCGGGGACAATTAGCAGTGGCGTAGCTTTTGGTGTGGGTGAAAGCACAAACATGCGTGGTTCCGTCGACGGCAGAACTCACTAACTGTTTGGGCCGTGGAAAACCCACGGTTGCTATTCGTTTTTTTTTTCCCCTTTTGGAGGCATCTACTGAGACCATTTTGGCCTTTCATGGGTCCACCTCTCGATCGCCGGTTCGTTTGCAGTCCGAATAAACACCGGTGAGTACAAAAATCACGTACCAGACGAAGCTCTTTTGTGTCGCTGTCTACTCCATAGGACTTGGTCGATAGCTACCAGAATAGGAGCGAACAAGAAAGCACCGTCATCTACCCAGGAAAAAACGTAAGGCGAGCATCCGCCCAGATTTCGAGCCGCAAGCACGCCACGTGAAACCACCTCACGCACAAACAAAGGTCTTCGACTCACCGGCGTACGGGTGGTTGGGCCGTCCGTAGGGCGGGACCCTGGGCACGAACCTCCGGTTGGGCTCGTCTGGCCTGAGCCCCAGCATGGCCCGACACGAGGGCGCCTCGTGCGAGGTGAGCCGCCACGCGATGCCGCTGACCGTGATCAGCACGATGCCCACGCCTGCGAGGAGGAGGAGGAGGAAAGGTTGATTGATTGATTACAGGCTTTATGGCGCAAAGCTACTATGGCTATACTGCGCCAAAAGGAGGAAAGGGTTAGCGTCTCATGAACGCGAAATACGTGGCTGGTGATTTAGGATTCCGTGTTTTCAGTAGCTGCGCATGAGCAAAGCCCCTCGATTTTTAACACTCCCTTGTATAACACGAACACTTCCTCGTATAATGCCCCCTGGGCCTTCAAGGAAAAATAAATGATGATGATGATGATGATGATGATGTGGTTGCGTTGTGCATGAGCAGCTACCATAACCGAGCTTCACAGTTTGTGTTTCCTCTTGTTCTGTTTATACTTCACTTGATCATTACCATAGCGGGACAGGTTAGTGCCATTTAAAATTCTACTGTGTCCTTCTCCGCAGGATTGGCATTTGTGTGGCTGTGTAACCTGACGCGTGTGTAAAGAGTCCATGTATCGTGAAATTTAGCGGGAAAATTGATGTGACGTGAACTGACGTTACGGGACGTATAGAACAGTTCATTTTTTCTGCTAAATTTAGCGGAAAGATGGACGTCACGTGACCCAAACATCAATTCAGTTTCTCCACTAAATTTGGCGGGAAAGGGACGTCACGTGACTTGGGGAGATCGACGGCATGTGAGCTATACGTCAACTCAGTTTCCCCGCTAAACTTAGCGAGAAAATTCACGTATTGTGACCAAAATATTAAATCAGTTTCCCCGTTAAATTTAGCGGGAAATCGACGTCACGTGACACGCAGATTCCTTCACCAATTATCTATAATGCATTTCATGCATTATAAAACTTTAAAAATAGAATCGCTGCCAATTTTTTTTTTTTTTTTATTTATATGGGAGAATTGATGCCGCGGCGAAGAAAATATTATTTTCCGCTTTGAAAAGGTTACATAATTAAAATAATTTCTTTTAAGCTTCAATAAAAATCAATGAGTTGAGTAATTCGATAGACGATACTGCAAAATATTTTGCTCGTTAGTCATTTGTTATTGCGTTATTGAAAGAAAGTGACGCGTTACACCCAACGCTATATTTAGACGCACGCGACCTTGGTACTATCGTCGGCGGTGAACGCGCCAAAAGCAGCTCCCGTTTCCTCCGCTAGGGCGGGAAGTGATCGGGTTCAGGCGAACTCCGGAAGCAGCCGTCCATTAGGAGAGGGGAACGCGCCAAGGGACGCGACGATTGCCAACGCCTGAGAATTATCGGCTTTGGGGAGAAAAAAAAAAGAACACAGGTAGGCCATACACACGCGCGCGCGTCCCACGCGCTTTGGCCACGGGCGGCTAATTTATGGAGATAGCGGGTGGTTCGAAAAGAGAAAAAAGTGAACAGCCCTTTTCTCGCCGCAAACATGAAGTATAGACTTGTCGCCGAAAGCCGTCTCCTCCCAAGCGTGGACGGTTAGCGGCGAGGGTGAGGTGCCAATGTTTCGGAACTTAGCGCTATCTGATTCGAAAGTTATAAGCGATTTTCGGAAACTTGCCAATAAGAAAATGGCGGCCATTGAAGCCCGCGATAGCATTAAGATGCCAACGGGTAACGGTTCCAATTATCTCATTGAAAAGCTTTGAAAGTTTCTTATAACGCTCGAACGAGACAACGTTAACCTCCTAAAACTTTCGGTATATGGTCCTAACCGCTAGCGCTACTCTCGGATGAACACTGCAGCTTTTGGCGACGCGAAGTTCATTTTTGCGGTGAAGAAAACAGGGCATACTTGTCTTCCAAACACGTTGTATATTCCAAACAACGTCGGAGAAAACGACCCGGCTTATCTGGCTTATCAAAAAGAGATAATTCTACGCCCGGATAAGACGCCTGTGGAATGATCGGGCTCCCAAATCGGCTGTGCACGTTTATTGAGTGTCACGTTTAGCATATTTATGATATGACTAGATGTAAAATAATATGATACGATTTGTTTTTCACTACCTTATTTCGTTTGGCCGATGCCGAAAGGCCTTTGAGGTATTTCGAATAAATAAATCAATAAAACAAAAGCCCCCTCGTCCGAAACCCGCAAGAGTGCAACCGACATAACGTTCGAACCACGAGCTTTAACTCCCTGTCAAGCCGAGGTGCAATTAGCAACAGTGTATTAAGGTAACGTTGCTTTCGGGAGAGAGAGGGAGAGTATGATTGGAAGGCAGAAAGATTAGCCTCACCGCCTGGGTCCAGCACTTTACTCTATACTGGGAAAGGAGGAATAGGGAGGAAAAGATTAGCGAAGATGAAATGGAACCAGGAATTAATCGCATAGGTAGGAAGTAGGCACTGGAACAAGCTACCTCTGGTCGAGCACCCTTCCTCTCAAATCCGAAGTTTTGTGTAGATCTATCCGTATGCGCAGCACACGTTCGTCTGCTTCTTTTCCGGCGGTTGTGATGACGTCAGAACTCCGAGCTGATTGGCTCCGATTGAAGGATAGGGAGTAGACCTGAAAACAAGCTAGTGCTTTGAGGTCTACCCACTCTCCTCCAATCAGAGCCAATCACAGCTCGGAGTTCTGACGTCGCCACAACCCCCGTAAATTGGAATCCGGATCGCGTTTTTTTTTTTATTTTTACCTAAGCTAACAATGATATTATTGCAGTATTTCATTATTTGCCCAAGTATCGCAAATAATTAAAATTTGAATGCACTCTATCATATTGCGTAGGAGCACGAGTCAGTCTCTATTATGGAAATTTGATTTACTCCTTCTGATTAAAGCGCAACATTGTTTTCCCTCGTCCTCAATCTTTTATTTTCACTTTCATTGTTCTATAACAATAAGAAAATAAACTCAAATTAGGACGGGGAAAAAAAAAGACGAACAAATGAGTGAACATGCCAGGTAAAACTGGATTGCGTGCGCACAGAAACTCCGGGAAATTCCCCCTGCGGGTGTCTTCCGCTACCAACAATTCGTTATGCCGATAGCCAAATTTCCCTAAATAACGTCTAATAAACATACAAACAAAGACACTAACAAAAAAAAAAAAGTTCCGGCATCAGCGCCATCTAGCGGAACCGGGTCGCAGGTTCGCAGCTTTTGAGCAGCGTCACCGCGCGACACGCACATCCTGCCATTGAAAGTCTAACAAACAAACGAAACGTGGAAAGTCAAACAGCGAGAGAGAGAGAGAGAAATACAAAAGAACAAACAAAGAAAAACAAACAAACAAGTAGAGAAAGACAGCAAGGACGCGGCGGCGGCCGTTTCGCCGTCTCTCGCCTGCATCGCTGACGGCCGCCGCCATTGTGTGATTTGGTTCTCCCGCCGATTTTCGTCTGCTACTTCCGTGAAAAAAAACAGAAAAAGATGGCGGTTGGCAACGTATGCTCCAGTGATCGCTTGTGCCGCCGCACGCTTCCGTTGCGTTGACGCCACAGCTATAGATAAACTGCCGACCTAACTCGCGACAAGAGGGATATACAGTGATAGCCACAGTTAACAGGAACACGGAAGTGCATGTTCATGAAGGAAAGTAAAACGGAAAGAGTAACGACACTCTGGCATATTTATGTGATCCGAAAACAAAGCATAAGTGTTAATGGGACGTAAAGCAGATATAGAAAGAAAAAAAAAAATTAAATGCCGAGTATTCCTAGCATTCGCTCTAGTTAAGAATGTTTGTTACTGTACATACAAAAAAGAGCTGAATACGACCGGAATAGAGAAATCATTTGTTTCAGTTAACTGGGAGGAGTGTATACCATGTTCATTTGCATTTCTTTTTTGTAGCTGCAGATTTTGATTACTTAGAGGTCGACACATTTGTCGACCTTCTTGGCCGGCTGACCCTAGAGCCAAGTGCCCTTGCACCACATGTGTGGCAGGCAGCATATCCATGCACCCCTGAAACCACTTTTTGAGAGCATGCCTCACACCCACGAATGGGCAGCTGCTTCCAGCGTATCATATGACCGCGAAATGGCGCTTTAAGAAACAAAAACAAAAAAATAGATAGTACCTGCTCCCCCCACTCAAATTTCAGATTAACACACAATGCGGGCACACGGCCCATAGGCTCTCGCACAATTCAATCAATCCGTGCGCGTGTTTAATGTCGACGTTCGTGTCGCCTTTATACCATACGGGCGCGGGCGTCTGTATGCCTCTATCGGAACAATGCATACAAGAAAGACGGACACTGCTGGCACATCGAGCTCCCATTGTGGCGTGTTTGTCCAAGCCGAGGTCACGTGTCATGGGTCGTTACCGTTTGCGTCCAACGCCGATGAAAACAATGGGTCGAAGGGGAAAGCATCCCCTGGCTATTGTCCAGCCGCAAAATAGACCCGCCGTGACAGTGCTGTCAGCCAAGATTACATCGCTCATTTTTCGCTATCGGACGTGAGGCGACCTCGAAAACCTTTTACAATCGTCTCAAGTTTCCCAGCCCTCTGAGCGCTCACACTCGAACCCATCAAAGTTGCTTACTTTCTAACGGCCGAAATGGAAACTTTCGGTAAACGATGAACTGCGCGAAAGTTTACACGTTGTAAGGGAATTTCGGTGTACGAATGTTATAGGAAATTTCGCCCGCCGCAAGAGCGATTTCGTAGTACTAATATTGTTTTACAAGATTTCGCACGTTTTGACAAACGCGGTAGTACATTTTTATTGTTGTTGTAATAAAGTCTGCTGTACGGTTGTTGTACGAAATCTTTGGACGTTGCAAGAAATTTCGTTGTGCGAATGCCGTACACAATTTTGTTACGTCATACTACATTTCGTTGTGCGGATGGTGTAAGAAAGGGTGATAGTGGGCAAATTCGAATTCATTGGAGCAAGCGCGCTAACCCTTGTTCTTCGACATGCGCCGATGCAACTGGCAACGAAGGAAATTGAGTTCACGAGTTGTAGGTTAGAGGGCGCAAGCTGCCGCCTGATACCATTCATCCGTCTATCATGCAGATCGTTGAGAACCCAGCGCGGACTGTCGAGCTGGGGGTGCATTCACGCTGACGGCTATG